TACTACATGCAACCGTATTAATTGTATAAGTAGAGTTCTGTATAAATAAAAACTCTCCAATTAACTTTATTTGCGAGTCCAAGTAAAAATTGAAACTCAATAATGTTATGTGTGTTAGGTATCTCGTTGTATGTCTCTTTTATCATTTTAACGCCACAGCCTTACGGCTAGAAATAAATATGCCATCTATAAAAAAAAAATAATACAACTGTATTGTTTACATTCTAATCAAAAATACTTTCTTTATGTGGTATTTGAAAGAAGGTCTTAGTAAACAAGTCGTAAACATTATAATATGTTTTGTTTCATTGCACCCTTTCAAGTATTCCTTGTACCTAACCAGTTTTTATTTTATCTCCTTTTTCATTTTTAAGCTGTAGTAGCTAAGTACTTACTCTATTTCTTGTGATAGTAAGTATTTTTGTTGCCTTTTTACTATCATTTTGGATACTGCAACTTCAAGTTATGAAATCCCTAAAACTGACTTACAACTTTCCTATCCTATGCCCATCATCTTTGTGGTTATGCAGTCTCCTGTTCCATCCTATTTAGTTGTAACCAATCGTCAAATAGTTCTTCATTTGTGCAATTTACTTTAGCTTTCTTTTAAATAATGTCCCTTATCAATTTAATGTTTTTCTGTTACACGCTTTTTTTCTTTTCCTTGTAAAAATTCAAATTCTTTGTAAATATATTTTATTATTTTTACATTTTTCGTTTATTGTCTGTCGGGTTTGTATTTGTTAATATGTTTTTGAGTACACAAGTTCACCATAAGCGTAACGCAAAACGACATCGGAAATCAGCTAAAATATTATATCGGCTGATATTACTGAATGTCTCATGGCTGGGAGTCAGTCGAAAACCTAACCTAACGTAATCTAACATGACCTTCCCCATAGTGATCAGAGACAGCTAATTACCGAATTTGATATGGAACAGCTGATAAATAATTAGTGATGTGACAGCTGATAATGGCTCCTGATAAGATGTCGGTGACAAATGGCGAGAAGATTGTAGGTAGAGGAAGGGGAGGTAAGGAGATAATAGATAGAGAGAGGAAAGGGGAGGGAGAAAAATAAACGTGAAAACGAACACATATTTGAAGTGTCAGGACGCGGTATATCTGTTATGTTAAAACTTAAAATTCTTTCTTATAAGTACCATATGTCATGTTCATGATCCAATGTTTTTTCCTACAAGGGAACGACTATTTCGTTTTCTTCATCAGCTTCTCCAAAGGTATCAAAACAGCCTTTACTTGAGAAAATGCGAAACATATTATAATAATTCCACATAACTGCTAAGTTTTTTTTAAGGGATCTCTTTGGAAAAAGAAAGCTATGCCAAATTGATACATGGCCCGTGGCATTGTACTCTGGGGACCTTTTTCTACGGTATTTGATCGTCCCGAGTACAGCCGCATAATATGTGTTACAAGGGCGAATTAGTACGTTGTCGTTTGGAAACCAGCGACAGTTTCCTATTGGTTTGCCCAATGCCTAGAAGAAAGCGAACATAACAATAGGGAACTAATAGATGTGGCGGAAAACGCGCACACACTAAAGCGTATTAAAACACCGGTTTAGATAATATTATTATTATTTTTGCGCACCTAACCTTCGGGGGAGGATAGCTACCTACTATGACCGCCGTTGGCCCATTCGTCACACGTGCCGCATGTATACATACACACACATGTATTACTATAATGTGTGTACAGTGTACAATGATATGTCATTACAATTATTATGATTATTATTATTACCATTGTCATTATCATTATCGCCCGGCGTACTCAGGTACCAATATTGGCGCACGCCGTTGCGCAATTATCTCAAATTTGTTTTATGCAACTATTATTTATTAACAATGGCGATATTGTGCGTACGCATACCTTCATCGACTGGTAAGGTACACCTTCTAAGTGCACTATAAAATATAATATAATATTATGATCTATGTGTATGCATGCAGTCGTCTTTCGGTGATAGACAAGCGGCGCGACTATAGTATCACCGACTTGTTTTAGCTTTTGACAGTAATGTGTTTTTAAAATGTGTAAAATATAAATTGCTTGTCATAAATTAGCTTTTTTAAAATTAAAATTCTATAATAAGTTTTTCGGGTTTTATATAAAATTTCATCTTATTTTTTTAAAAATATTAAATCAGTTTTAACTTAACGATGGGAGAACTTGTAAATATTTATTAACTTTTTCGATAATTTTCTTTTTGAAGATTAGTTTTTGTTTTAATGATCAAGGTTAGATCTCAGAACTAGCTATAGTCTATATTATTGCTCGTAAGTCTTAAAATTGCGCACAAAACAAAACAAGGAACTTTCAATCCCCGTAAACTACCACGCATGCGCAAACTCCTTAAGTTATAATTTTGTATTTAAGCCTTAAATGTGCATAAAATAATATCTAACAACATCCAAAAGTCAAAATTTGAAAAAAAAAATCACAAGCAGAATTAGTTTTGAATGTAAAAACTGTTGTGAAACTATTCGATAATAGTACTTATGTCGATTTTATAGTGTAATAGGAGTGTTGTATCTTCCAACTATTGGGCTGTGCAATTTTGCTGTAAACAACAGATGTTCACGAACGTTCTTATTTGCGTTGTTTGCCGTTTTCAATGCTCGCACTGTCTTATATGATATTTGATTCAATTACTCAGATAGGTCAGTTAAACATTTCCTTTCCGCGACTCTCTGTTTATTTCACGTCTCTACACACTTCAATGTCTTACATTGATTTATATACTACCCACTTCGAATCTGCACTCAAAATTCATCAACTAATTTGCAATGTAAAATTTTGATATTTTTTTTTAGGCTATTTTCATAACATTATAGTTATTGTAATTTTGACTAGAACTCGATAGTTTTTTATAACTTAAATATTTATTATTATAGTAGAAGTTTTAACAATTTATTGATGTATTGTTCAAGGGGCACTAAATAGGCAACACATTCAACACGTTGTACTCAACAGCCATTCTAGTATTTAAACTTCAAAGCATAAATCCAAGCATTCACAGCATCTCATCCATTTTTGGTCGGCTATTAATGCTTTCCCCAAATTTAATTTTCTTTTGCATTAGAGCGTTGGAGGAACTATCGAATTAGTAATTTGTGCTTGTTAAAAATATATTGTTCAGATTGGAAAACATGTAACGATTATCTGTTTTTAATTCATTTTTGGTTATTATGCGTGTATGACCGACCAAAATACTATTTTGTTATATGTAAAAAACTAACGTGCTCGTTAAATCATTTAGTACCGCTTATTCATCATATTCGCTAATGAGACGTTTAAAATAAAATCCGTGTCGACAAGGTTATCAAAGTATATTTAATATTCCATTAGGCTGGGTTTTATGAAACGTAAAAAATAGACCGTGTACTTACCTTAAATTATAGCAATGTAATTGCATTTTTTTTTTTTTTGAATCCGGTTTCAAAAAAAAATTAACGAACAACGATAAATTAAAAACTAGTTCCTCGTTTCATATCACTGTTGTATTGTTAAACAACGCGCAGACTACATTTACACAAGATCATCATAGTTATCAACTTCTGTAGTGTTTAATTACTATTCTTACAGTTGGCATGATTTTAGCCTAATTCGTTTTAAAAAAATAAAATCAATTTAAAACTATTTATGTATATATTTTTAAAGCCATTGCGACGACGATAATATTAAGTTAAACTACTACCCGCAATAAAAATGATGTCAGTCTTGGTTTAAATTTTTATAAGAAATGTATATTTATGTACATGTATTAATGTACTTTTAGTGTGTGAGGTTGATAAGTTTAAGTACTTAGGATCGGTGGTACAAAAAAATGGTGTGCACGAGGAGGATGAGAAAAATAGAATTGTGGATGGATGAATTGGAGAGGAGCGTCGCGGGTGTTTTTTGTAACAGGAGGATGCCTATAAGATTAAAAGGTAAATTGTATAGGTCGGTAGTGAGGCAGCAATGTTATATGGGTCGGAATGTTGGACAGTAGATAAGAAAACTGAACAGAGAATGAGTGTAGCAGAGATGAGAATGTTAAGATGAAGGAGTGGAGTGACTAGGGAAGATAGAATAAGAAATTAATACATTAGGGGAAGTCTAGGAGTTGCGTCAATTCTGGAGAAAATGAAAGACAATATGCTGAGATGGTTCGGTCATGTTAGAGAAAAGATGAGGCAGAGGCAGCGAGAGGTGTTACGACTTACGACGATGAATGTAGAGGGGAAAAAAAAGAGGAAAACCAAAGAAAAAATGGATGGACGGAGTAGAGAGTGATATGAGGATAGCTAGGGTATTTTAACGAGATGTAGAAGATCGAGCTCTAAGGAGGTGTAGGACTAGGGTGGCCGACCCCATGTAGTGGGGAGTGTAAGACGAAGACAATGAAGATAAATCAAATGTAATATACGTTACGTCGTTTATATACAAATAATTAGTTTGGAAGGGGGGTAAAAACAAAAAAATTCTGGAAAATTGAGATCACCATTGTATAAAAATAATATTAAATTTCTTATTAAACCCTATGAGGTATTAAATGGTTCACGGCAAAATGATCACTCTATATCGTGCTTTAACATAAATGAAAATGATTTTAAAAAGAAACTTCACCACCGGTTTCGGTCCATTAATTATACTTTTGTCTAATGTCAGGTTCACATCAAAACATTTAAAACTGTTAAGTCTTAAAAAACTAAAACTTAACTTAAGTAGAGAGAAAACCAATTTATTAATCTAATTTTTTTTAACATGAATTTAGTATCACTTCTTTATTCATAGTGTGGAGGATGGTGAAACTTGTTTAAACGAGTATTTAATTGATGGTAAGTTAAGAAAATTATCAATTAAGGAAAAAGTGATAAGATTTTATTTTTGTTTTTTAATAATAATAAAATTAATTATTATTTATTTAAGATTTAACTACTTGATTTTTTGGGTTCTCTTTACTTTAACTGAATAGGCAACTACGTTGACATTTCACTGATAACCGCCTTATCAATTCATGTTGTGGTGCTGGCTTTTGACATGTTATCACTTATCATCACAAACGTTGCGTTTTGAACATCCAACTGTCTACTCAGATGCTAAAGTCTGTAAGTATTTTTTTTAAAACTGTAATTTGTTGAATAAATAATATTTTATTTATTAATATTTTTTCTTATAAATGTTTTATATATTTTGTAATTTTAGTGCAATTATAAAATATTGTATCCTATGTTTTTTAGATTCAACGTTAAGTCAAGTTAATTAGGTACTTAATTGTATCATCATTATACTTAACCATAAATTGTGTGTATTGCATTAACTTTGCTCATGTTCTTCTATTTTTCTCCTTATTCGACAAAACTGTGCCACTCTAACATTGTTAAAATATAGGATAAACGTACTTTTTTTCTCTTGGTCACCATTTTTTTCTTGTCACTATTTGAAAAATTACCACAATAATAATTGTCTACAATGCATCATGTATTGAAAATTTTAAATAATAACTAAATATATATTAGGTATATTGTTATTTTATCTTTTAAAATTTCAGAACTAAGGTTATTATTTTATGGTCTTGTTTAACTGTCATACTAACGTGTATTGTTTAGTTATAGTCAATTTAGAAACATGGAAGATTTATTAAAATTGGTGCGCTCGAATTTCACTCGAATCGATGTGGCCGATATGGATGATAGGACAATTGAGGAACTGTTTTTTCAAAATGGACCCAGTCGAGACAAATGGATTAAAACTCTAGTGTACGAACAACTCTTAGACATTGATACGGAATCGGACGCTACGGAACACGGTTTATATTATTTTAAGTTTTGTTTGTATAGTTTTTTCATGCATAAAAATTTGTTAAAGCTTATTCATTATTTTCTAGATTTAAAGCGAATATTTGTGGAGTTTGGGTTGTTAAATAAAGAAACAGCAGATCTGTTTTTAAAGGTGAGTCTAATGCCATAATGTTATCACCACGGAACATCACAATTTGTTCGCTTGTTTTTAAATTAACTGTAATATTGATAATTGTTTAAAATGGTTTGTTTTTATAATTGTAATATTAATCAAATGGTTTTATTTTAGGGTGATATGTCTAACGAAAAGCAACTTGCTTGTTGGAAAAGAATCGCGCCGGCATTTAGACCTGCTAAATTAGATTCAGCTCCACGGCCTGATTATGAAACAATGTTTAGCCATACTTATCAAAAGATAGAATTTCTTCGAGTAAGTTTAGACAATATAAAATAATATTGCTATAGGTAAAAATATATGTACACAGTATAGTATTGTCTATTATTATGATTCTATGTAATAAGCAATGTAATACTAGTGTCAGATGTATTTTTAGGCTGTTCAATTTTTTGACAAATTTGAAAATAAATATATTCATTAGGTTGGTTTTTAATTTACAAATTTCTGAATTTCTTTCGGGAAATATTTCTATTTTATGCAATGGGGTAAAAAAAAATTATACACTTAAGCACAGCGTTTGAAAAATTAATAAAATAGTAGAAAAACGACTTAAAACATTTTTTTTATTGTTTAAGTCTACACAACTTAAAGACCTGTTTAAACAATTCTTTAAGTATAAGATCTAAATTAATATCAGTATTACTTAACACGTCAATTTATGTTACATTTTTATCTAACAATTTCTATAATTATTTTTCTAATACTAGAGTTAAATATTTTTAAATTATTTTATAGTGTAAACAAAAGTGTAAATATGTATTCAAGTTGAAGAGATACTAAGTATAAAATAATTGTTAATACCTAGTTAAAATAAAATTGTTTACACACATTTCGCATTTAAATGCCTCGGCGTCGACTTTCTTCACTTTTAAACTGAAACAATAATCTTAAATGTGATAAACATACGTTTAAAAATTGTATAAACAATGTTGTATTACTATCTGATTTGTTTGTATTTTATTATTTAAAATGATATTGAATGATATTTCAGTCAATTACGAAAAAGATATATCTTCCGGCTGAGTTAATGCTGAAATTAAAGAATCCTGAGTCGCAAAATTTAAACGGCTATACTTTTGAAGAATCGATGCAAAAACTTGAAAGTATTTTAAAAAAGTCTGCTAGCGATTGCCTAAATGTGAGTAAATTGTTAAGTATACAGTTATAAATAAAACGTTTTTATAGTATTTATGTGAATATTATAATAAATATAATAATATGACGGTTATGTATTTTGTTAGGATTCTTCTGCATGTGATAATTCCTTATTGACTGATGATCGCTTAAATGTGTTGGATGTGGACACTGTCAAAGAGGAAGTTGCCAATTACATAAAGATTTGTGAACAAAATCAAGTCACTTTACCGACCGACTTGCAGTTCAATAAAATATCTCTAGACGAATTTACCGAACAAATAAAAAATGATGGTTTGACCGAGACCGATTTTATTGAATCGAAACTAAACGATGTTTGTGAAGTAAGTTATTTCATAATTGTTTTTAATGGCTTGTCCATCAGGAATTTTTAATAGATAATGGTTTTTTTTTATTTTCGATAAAAAGCTTTTGAGGCAAGAACAAGAGTTACAAGTCATAACTGAATCGTTGGCTAATCAATAATCAGGTAAATATGTCAAATTACTGAACTTTTCAAATTATAAAAAAACGGTGATGTACATATTTTTTTTGGTTTTATATTAATAGTATGTGATTTAAATTTAGATTAATTAAGAGGTCTAGTATTCAAACCTAGTATTAAAAAAAAATCATTATTGTAATTAAAAAGGATTGGAGGATATTAAATTATTAAAAAAAGAAAAAATCATTAAAAAAATTTAGCACTGCATAAAAATAATTAATTTAAATTTGAATATAAAAATAACAAATATAATTGATAGTGGATAATATATCATTTTTTTCCTAAAAAAAGAACATCATTTATAAGTATAAGTAGAAATTCGTAGATATAATATTCATTAGGTTGGCTTGTAAAATTGTATTGAATCACATATCTTTTTGATTTGTACGATTTAAATCAATTAAGCATTTTATCCGAGGCCTATTTAAAAATAGTTAACAAATTGTATTAATTACTTATAAAATTTTTTAAATATTTCTACATTTATCTTAAAACATTTTTTTTTTATCTAGTTATATAACATATACAAAGTACTCGTATTTGACAACAATGGTTAATTTCCTGTTTGAATACATTTCTATTTTATTTTCAGGGACGGGTACATTCCCAAGTAGAAAAAAAGTATGAGTGTTTTCAAAAAATTGTAAATATTTTAAAATCATGTTTTGGCAGGAAATAAAAATGTGTTTAAAAAATGATAATATTTTACGTAGGTACTAGTAAAACATTGGAAATAATATGTTCGTATACCTTTACATTATTTTTTAAACATTTATTCTACTGCCAAAATGGTTGTTCTTAGTTTTTTGTTTTTAAATATTCACATTTGTTAGGTGCAACTTATCATTACTACAAATGAATCCATTGTAAATTATTTAATTATAGTTAATTTTGTAGCATAAAAAAAAAAAATTGTATTAAACTATTATAAAAATGATATAGCATAAAGTCATAATGATATGTACCCCATTAGGTAATTTAAATGTGATTTAAATGGTAATTTAAACATGTGAGTTCCACTAAAAGTTCAGGTTTTTTTCTGTTACGCTGTAAATCCTAGATATGACTTTTATTATAAGAACATATTGTCGATAAAACTTTGAATTTGTCATGTCATTGTAATTGTGTGGTAAGGAGTTTTAATGTCACGTACCTAGTAAAAAACTTTTACAGCTCTATGCAAAGTAACTTCGTAGACATTTTAAGGACTTTAACAATATTATTTTCTAACTCTGTAACAGTAAACTTGATTTAGATTAATAAGGAACTTACTGTACTTTTTATCTTTTTTTTTTCAGAACCTGATATGTTTTGTTCAATTGTCGCTCTATGTTATTTTTAAAAATTGAATTATTACTATTATTATTATTAAAATATTGCTACATTTTGAAAATCTTTTTGTATATTATAATTTTTTTTTTTTTGAAATGTGTTTTTTTTTTATCTGGATCCACGACATCTTCTAAACACAATTTCGTGTTGCCACTTGCTTTATGTATATATGTAATATATGCGACACTTTTAACCCTTAGATACACAGATAATGTCGGTCCGGTAAAAAATATTTTCCGTGTTGATGCGGATTTGACTCATCTAAGATTTATTATTTTCTTACCAGCAGTGCATCACGTACTCGCGTGTAAGCGTGCACACGGTTTGAATAATAACAATAAAGATTATGTCACCAGAAAATAATTTATAGAAATAGAAATGTCCGTGTAGGTATTTTATGTTGAATTCTTCGTTTTTCTAATGTTTGCTCCAAACTCGGTGGCGTATACCCAGCTAGACCGACAAGAGGTGGGCTAGTCTCTCAGCTAGCTTCTGGTAGGCACCTACCTATTTTTTTTTTAAATTCTCCATTTTTCTCCATTCTTTGAATACATATATAGGTGTCGTCTCGCCCACCTCATATAAATTAAAATTCCCTATGTAGTTTCTTCATTAAAAAAAAAATCTGACGCCCATTAAATTTTTGTGTGTTTACTCAGCGATTATTTATAGGTTGTAAAAGCGACAACTACGTAGATAGTCGTTGGTCAAAATTAAATTTGTAATTTTTTGATTAGATTAATTTTTAATAATACTTTATAGTAATTTTATAGTTTTACTGTAACTATTTTCTACTCGGCCATGTCGACATGTCCTTGCATGTTTGCTGGAGGAAAAATTGTAAGGTTTCCATTTATATTACATTCCAATAGACTAGCTAATACAGTGAAATCCGGACAGATATCTATTTTTAAGGTAGTGATAAAATCAAGCCCGACGCAAATTTGCCTATTGTTAGACTATACAAATCAAATCAATATTGTTTTCGTTGTACTTATATTTAATTGTATTCTATTAATGAATATTTTTAAACTTGTAATGGGGTCTAGGCGTGGGAGAGGATAGGCAATACTTAAGCTCTCGTTTTTCGGAATGGTCCTTTATGCAGGTAAGATTTACAAAACCCTTAAACGTCTCACGATGCGTGTTGTCTACACAATAGCACGATTGAACGCCATTCGGGAACACCGAAACTAGGTAATGCCATAGGCGTCTATAAGGCGCTAATGGGAGCCACAGCACCTCTTGAATTTTAAAGCCATCATACTATTACTATACGTTTACATTGGCAATGGCACCATATTAGGGCAGTGCAGTCGCCGCAGACTTTTGAACCAAATATCGTTTGGAATGTTTTGGTAATGTCCTACACGAAAAATATTTTTTTTTTTTTAGAGTATTGGTCTTTTTATTCCAATCCAGTACGCATTCAAACTTCGACCAATCCCACATTTGGTAAATGTTATTCAACGATTTTCATTCCGCACAAGAGTCCATATTTTTTAATTAAATTTTATCACTAATGGTGGTAAAAATGTGGTTTTCTAATGGGTAATGATTTTTTTGTCAAAGTCGTTAGAGTTTTTCCCGTTAAACAGTCCATTAAGAGGAGGTTATACGGTATACCCCCAGTATTTAAAAAAGGAATTTTGTAAAGGGACATATCAAGTTAAACTTTAAAGCTAAAACGATTATGTATGTATATTTATTTTAGTATAGTCATGAGTCATAATAAAGCCACGCAGCATGCTCGTTTTACTCTATGATGATTTTAGAGAAAAAATGTCTATTATCAAATCCGAAGATGATGCCAATTTAAGAAAAATATGAACTATTGTTTTTTTTTAACATACTTATTATTTAGCCTAATATTAATTGATGTCGAAAAAATGTATTTTTCAATTACTTAATATAATGATAGCTTTTATACCAAGAAATATATGTATATATAATATATAGATATATCTTGAAAATGTTGCCTTCTTTCATTTTTGTTGTAGATGTTTAATTCAGGATCTTATTGTTGACAAAAAGTAAAGTCAACTCTGAAGGCAACAAGATGTGTATTTACATAAATTAATTAATAAGGAAATGATAATGTACGTCTAAATAAATAAATTTAACTGTCGATATGAGATATCATTATAATTAATCGCATAAACTGTATTGAGACTTATAGAATTATATACTTGTATCGGTTGACAATTTGTTGACTCGCTAATCCTTGGGTTTTGATATGCATACACCTATTATATGATTTTAAATGCATTTTTTCGAGCTATTCAATTGGAGCTCGTATCTTATACACTGGTTGTGCCACTTTGGGTGTTTGACGGATCTAGGGATGAAAAAAGCAATAAGTTTACACGGTAAAAAGAAGAAAAAAAATACACATTCTAATATATTATACTATAAGACTACATTTTTAGTGCATACAATTCATTTACATACGTGAGGGGTTTCAGCCCCCGCGGCTCTGGGTTCTGGCACCGTGTGACGCGCCCTTCCTCCTCAGGTTTCGGGGTTTAAAGTTTTTTGTCATAAAATTAAAAAAAAAAAAAAAACCGAATTGAGCCCCACGACCGCGGTGTGATGTATATAGGTAGGTGGCGGCCAAGCTCTGCTTATTTAAGTACACTGTACAGAACAGTGGTCGCCGGGCAAGTATATAAAACCGCACGCACTCGACATAACAACGGCCACAACACTGTACACTGTATATAACTGTACAACTGCAGGGCTATGTGTAAATGCAGCAGGCGATTTAAATATAGAACGTGAGTGTGTGTGTGTGTGGAGCAAGGCGAATATCATCGGTTGCGAGTGTGTGCCGTTCGTGTGGTGTGCCGAGACGTGTCGCCTGCAGCCAAGGGATTCGGTCGGTCCCTATCCTGCTCGTGTGTAAAAGCGAGTGCATGTAAGACGTGCGAGCGCCGCCCCGTCGGATCCACGCGATTTTCCCATATCCGTATCGCCCGTGTCGCATACCGTGTGCGTGTGTTTTTTAAAATATAAATTAAAAAAAAAAAAAAAAATCCTAATTCTTTTTCCCTCCCCGACCTTGCGGCCTCTACCCTCTCAGCCCGCTCCCCCGAGAGCCCTCGAACCGACATGTGACCGGCCGGAGTCGGTTAAGTGTATTTGTCTTGTTGCTTTTTGTATGTGCGAGCCCGTCTTGTCGACCGAATCCGACCTAAGGATTTTGTTTTTTTGTTTACCCGGAAAAAGTAAGTAAAAGAAAGAACGTGAAAGAACGTGCAATTTTTTCCCATCATGTTTCTATCAAAATTCATCGTTTGCTCGCAAAACGAACCGCATGCGTGTAATTTCTTACATGCATCGGCACTATGTCCCTATTTGTTAGTAGTTTGTCTTTCCTGTAAAATTTGAACTTCCGCAGATGTTGGCGTATGCCTGCCCCGCTTGCGGTTCTTCTTTGGGTGTCTGTATTCAATCAGAGTGTAGATACAAGCTCCTGTCTCTAGGCTAGATGTGCTATTAGAAATTTACTCTGATCGCCTTGCCCACTCCTATATTATATAGCAATTAGCGGTGCAACGTGGTAAAACAATTGTTGAAATCCATTAGGACTTATGATATAACATGATGAAATACAGCTGTTGTATGTCATGTTTTACAACAGAGTAGATGTCTTTGGTTTTTTTTCACAACTTTCAAATTGTAACATGCGACGAGGGCGTAAAAAATCGAAATAAATCAACTTAAGATATTTTGGTGATGACTTGAGGCATTTTAAGTAAAATGACTCGTCATAGTCGATAAAATGTACCTAACAACTGGTTTCGGTCTATTGGTCCTATATTTTTTTTTAGAGAATATAAAATGTTGTCAGTTCTTTGGGCCCAACAGAGCCATATTTTTAGCAACAATTAATTAAGATATTTAAGCCACTAAATATGTGAATTAAAACATTTTATTCTTTATGTATTTAATTAGTTATTATATTTTGTAAAAAAAAAAATGGTATTCTTGCGGCTAAAATTAAAAGTCATATAAATTGTATGTATATAATGTTATTTGTAAACTATTGAATTATTTTATATAATTAAATAAAAAAAATGACCTGAACCGAAAATTAAAAAAAAAATGTTTTTTCTATAACCGGCTAGTTAATCGATCCAATTTAACCAGAAAATTCCTTCAAAAATAATTAACAACAGCCTATGCCAGCATTTCCTCAGTTCTTCAATTTATATAACGTTTCCTATTTAATGAAAAATGTGTTGTAAATTATTATGTCATCATACGTCTTCTAAGTTGACATGATGATGAATAGCAAATCTTAAAACAAATAGATAATTAAAGCGTTCATTTTATTTAATAAAGGCTAAAAAAACGTTAGTCAATAGCAATATTAGATTATTTTATAGTATTATATATCATATAATTTTATGACTTAAAAATTATATAATGTAATATATTTACCACCGATAATTGTTAATAGATTTATACAGTATTGCTGAAATTTCGAGTTTTCTTTAATACTATTAAGTATAGGTACCTACCTATAAGTATTTTGGTCTTAATAAATTAAAATAATAATATTATTCAATTAAAAACAAAATCAATTAACTACAAGATTATGCAAAAATAATCCATGTGCATTGTACATAGTAATATACATAGTAACATGGTAAATTATTATACCACACAATATAATAAATTGCATTTTTTTATTCTGTCGTATCCATTAAAAACTTGGATTAATTAGGTATGAACTATGAGAAATAATGTTACAAATTAGTCTCTACAGATGTGTACACATCTAATATCACGGTAATTATATAATATATATAACTGATCAATTTTTAATTGTGAGGAATTGCTGTATATTTTTTTATCATCGTTTGAAATTCTGTTTAACAACGTGTCGATCGACTTACATGATAAAAATTATTTTTATCTAATATTTTATGTAACGAAAAATGTCGTCGAAAGCCGTTGGAATATTATTCACGGCGCACTTCCTAATGGCTCGAGTGATTTATTTTAATGTGAGAAGTAAAAAAAAAAAAAGGTTCTAACTTCTCTTCATTAGTGTTTTATTGCTTTAGGAGACGTCTGCTTTTTACTATGGACAAAATAAACTACACTACATTAAGATAATTCTATTTTCTGTTTCTATAAATTATTTTAAATATTATATATATATTTACACACGAAGGGATTTGTATAAATTGTAGTAATACCATCTAGTGTTTGGGTGTTGTATTTTGGCTAATGAAAAAGATACGTCTTGGAAACATTACTAATACCTAATAATGCTTGAGAAACACTTTTAAAATATGTAAAGAAAAATAAACATACTTTTTAAAAAAAATGCAAGTATGTCATATAAGTATGATTTATGAAGAATCTGGTGGTTAGATTGTCCTCAGTCTTGTTCCAGTATGTCTAAGGAATATTCCATACGAATTTGGAACTGATTCGACTATTTTAAAAAACGTTTTGGAGCGCTGTAAATTTAAGTTGAAAAATAAGTACATTTTTTTTGGGCTTGAACTTTTAACTAAGATACGATTACAGATCTATAGAGTCGTTACACGAAGAAATCGGTCAAGTGGTTTAGAGAGATATCGTGGGCATATAAAAACACATCTTTGTAAAAACAATATCTTCTCAGCTCCACATCGAAGCTAAAAAAACAATTTTAACGTATAGGTATTTTATTATAGGTAATTTCATCTGATGTAATAAAACATTTTGAATTGATAACAGCTCAATAACAGATGCTTCTATGCGAGTTTAAATATATGATATAGGACAGAAGTTAGAGTTTTTAGAGTATCAAAGGTTAATGAAGTAGAGAAAAACTTTAGAAAAATAGTTTTTAAGAAAATGTCTAATAGGCGTGATGTTGAGGAATGCAATGTGTGTGTATATTATTGTTATGGAGTGTTGTATAATATCCTAATTTGTCCTTTTGCGACCGAAACCATACCTTGCAACATGTGTTGTACACCATTCATTAACACTACTTATTCGTATTGGCGCACGCAGTTACTTGAAACAGCGATAATTCTCCACAGGAATGCCAGCGGGTGGTTTTTTTGCCTGCTTATGGTAAATTGGATTAAGTCTGTCGAAGTCTTTCATTCACGCGCCTTTTCTTGGAAGTTTGTAAGTACCATTTTCTAATGTTTCACGGTGAGAGTGCGCGGAAAGCGAAGGGGGCGAGACGGTCTAGTGGTTTTCTCATTTTTACTTTTCAAACTTCAAAGGGAAAATAACTAAAGCATAAGATTTAGCTAAAAAACAACAAAATGTGTTAAAACATTTTCTAGCCGAAGACTAGCGTGTAGACCTAACCTAACCTAACCTGACTGATAGGCCAAATAGGTAAGTATGACAACGACGATGGAAGGTAATTTTTTTCAAAAACCTGTTAATTTCAATAAAATCAAAATATCTCATTTACATTCACGGTGAGCGATGGGTATGTTTGTCTTTATTGGTTCATACGTTGGTAGGACAATTTTTGTGTCTGCTACCGGTGATATACGGATCTCATATTATAGAAAACATTATGAGGATAGGTATGGAATTATTTTTATTTACTGGATACGGTCACACATTGTTTGTTTGTGGAGACATTCACCTTTTTGTGTTGCCGGTTTCTTTTTCAAACGATATATCCGGCGGCTTAAGGTACCGATGCCAACGGGCGCATCCGTTGATCCGGATTGCTTGTGGGATAACGACTATGAGAACCAGAAATTCTCGGTCGGCTTATATTATTAAGCACTATTTTTTTTTTTTACTGCCACTGAGATCTACGACGATGACAATAATAATTATCGTGTGTTATATGGACCAATAAAACGGCGGTCGCGTTCGGTGGCGGCGACAGGGAACAGTCTTGGAGGTTGATGATTTATTCGCGTTAAGCTTGCCGGGCTCCCCTTATGTATAATCCGAAACCAGAGCCTTTGCCGGTTAAACGTCGGCCGGGCTGGCTAGTCGAATAATAATAATAATAAAATATACATTATATATTTATACATAAAAAAAAAATGGCTTCACTTTTTACGACCTAGGGGACCCGGAATATTATATTCTTAGGGTCCGTCACTTTTGTCTTACCGCAATAATATTATGTGCACGCGAGTGTCTTAATCCCGTTAGCCACGTCGCCGACTTTGTACTTTACACTTAGGTACCTGTATATACAACCAACCATTCTTAACAGTATTGTTCCTATAGGTAAGATTATGTGTCGTTCTATAGCTATAGCTACAGGGTGATTCATTGAACGCGAGGCACTCATTTTCTTTGAAAACAATATTGCAATCTTGTAGTTTGTCCTTTTGTAAACATTTTTGTTTTTGATGTTATTTTACAATACATATTAGACAATACCTATTCAAGTCCTAATTTTTAAACTTTAATAACTATGAAAATCGTGCGAAACTGGTTATCGACCAGTCGAAATGTTCAGCAAATTGTTCTTAATTTGTTAAGTTACTATTTATGTTTCAAAGAATGAATCATCCTGTATATTAGCGTGTCCAACACTCTAACAGCCAACTCACATTAAGTTTTTATAATCCCCAGATATTCGATGTTGAATGTAAAATGTAAAATTGTATAGTCCAATGTAGGTACTATTGAATGTATTAGACAAATGAAAATAATGTAAATGTTTACTTTATTTAAATACCTTCAGTATAATATATCCGTACAATAATTACTCTCGGAATCGGCAAAAAAATCCAAACAATTAAAAAATAAAAACCGTAAAAATATCTATCTTGAAATAATGATCTTGAAATGTATAAAAAAAAATTGTACTTCGCTATAAACAACGTGACAGTCTCTTAGATATACAATACAATAGTTGTTGTAACCAAGTAGTTTTTATAAGTGTGTATTTTTTTTCTTTTTTTTTTTAAATATAAATAACGCTTTTTAAATAAATTGATCCCGACGGACCAAGTGCTCCAAATTATGACATTATCGTAGTAGACCAAAATAAAAACAACATGCAACACAGTCCAGCACTGTCGGCTTTGAGTTATCCTACATAGTGTTTAGGTTTTAATTCAAAACAGCTTTTTTTTTTTTTTAATATTCGGTCGGGTCTATGGACCGGAAAATAGAATGGCGTGTACACAAAATGTATATTAGAAAACTTTTGAGTTTAAATTGAATAGCACGCCAGTTAAACGTGGCGAGACTGAATCTAAATTCACCGTGAACAGGTTGTTTACTTTGGTTGAGAATATTGCTGTCCCTCAAAATTGCGCGTGACCAATGCTTACAAATATCGATATAAAAACGTTTTAATAGTTGAACTCAAAAGTGTTTTATCATATTTGCAATTCGTCTTATATTTATGCACAAACCAATCCGAGATAATGAGTAAGAACTAACGGGATTCTATTAGGTTGGGACTTGGATCGCAAAGGTTATATTCTTAGTAGTCGATTATTATAGATTTTTAACATATTTTAAATAGATGAGATTATATTTTTTGCAAATAAGGAGTAAGGTTAGGTTAGATAGCAAACTTTATAATCTTTATCGATAATTCGTGTCGAAGTATTGTCAGTACAATCTCATAATACACCCTGACCTAACCTAATCTATTTGTGGGAAGCATGAAACGTGCCGTGGTACTGTTTGTGACTGTTATGTGCGAATCCCACAGTCAACATTTTTTCGAAAATTAATTTTCGGTGTCAAAATACTTTATAGAGTGAGACGAACAAGTTTGCATAAGAAAATTATCAAGTCGACGCTCTAAAGCCTATAAAATATTATGCTAATGAAAATCTCGTTTATTTATGAAAGGGAATAAGTCTAATAAAATATCGAATTAGTTATAATTTGATTTGAGTCATAATTAAACGTGCCAGTAGTAAAGCTTTTACATTTACTTTTTATATTCGATAATTTTATTTGTTATTTTATTATTTGGCAAATAAACCGTTTTCGTTTTCTATTCCACCGTGTTTTTTATATTTTATTTAGCAAAGGGAATAAGTCCGCCAGCTGCGAAAAGCTAAAAAATAAAATAAAATATTTCTAATGGATAATATAATGAGTTTTTTGCTTTTTTTTTAACGTTCATACTTAACACAACAGTTTTTTTTGCGTTTTCTCGGCATTTTGGGTGTTTTGATATAGTATTCCCTTTCTTGAATAAGCGATTCGATCACGTGTACTCGTATTATATTGACATTTAATGCACTATTAAAGGGTTGAAAACTAGAAACGAGCTAACGACCAGCTGTTGCTTTGGAAGGTTAAGTTTAAAACTGTTTAAAATGTATTTTACAGCGAATTTTATGAAATTATCGTATGACTAATAACAATCACAATGTTAGCTATAATGTATTTTAGTGGGATGCCGGTTGTCACATTGTATAAACTACACTAGTTGTTAGGATATGTCAGTATTAAAAACGTGTTGGAGAAAAAACTGCACGCGTCCAATTATGCGGTTATTTTTATCACAATAATAATCACTAAATAGTCAGTTGACCGCACTTATGAAATGTTGTTATTATTTTTATTATTATTATTATTATTATTATTATTATTATTACAGCTTAGTAATGACGAATGACGGCGATGAGTAATCAAAGAAACTTTAAAAGTGCATTAAACATAAAAGGGACACCAACCTAAGACAATGCGTGGGCTATCGGATTTACATAAAAAAATAAAAAATACATATCCGCTATTTTTTTTTTTAAATTTATTTCTCTTCTCGGTAAAATACTGACGATGATGTGCATTTTTTGTTTTTTGTTCAAATAAAACATATGTTTCATGTTTAGAATATCATAATCGGTTTGCCATGTTCTACGTAAACAAAGACCGTTTTCTTTGTACAATTATATATATATACATATGCAATAAATATACTTTTTCGTTTAAAAACATAGCGCTTTGGAGAAAGCGAATAATAAGTAATATCCATGAACACATTGAGTGTATTGACGGTTTAATCATAGTATACACGTTTTACACGAAAACTGAAACCCATTAAAATATAGTTAATTTGTTGCATTGGCATTGGTCTAGTTTTAGGTTTCTGGTAACATTTTAATTTTTTGATTACTAATGGGGAGGTTGCTTTTTCAAGCGGCGAATTGGAATCTACACTTCTCTTTTTTTTTTTAGGAGAAGGGGGCAATAGTTTTAACTATTAATGTAAATACTTCCCTATAAGCCACGTGTAGTTTGTACGCCATCTGGAGTCTGCTTTGTAATGGGTACAGTATGTACTTTAATCTCAAGTACAATTCACTACTGTGACCTTTTTAATAGTGTTACTCGTATTTTCCCACGTAGCAGGACGACAATAATTGAGTTTGTCCAGTTCTTACATCATTTGGTATTTGAGTGTCATTGTTGATTTATAACGCTTTGGCCGATGTGCCTCCTAACAACACTTGCTTAATCTTATCATTCATCCCCATACTAGAACAGACGATCGGCTAATTTTCTCTATCTTATTGTTATGCAAGGATAATTGATTTCCTTTTATCATTTATCTCTTTTCAGCTGATAAGGTTATCAATAATCTCTTATTAGTTTTGTAGGTAGGTATCAGCCTATTGGCGGGAATAACAGCGAATGCGCAGTAACATTTTTCGTTTTTCTTGTAACATTCACTTATAAAAGCGCGTATATAGGTATAGATTATTAATTTTATCCTATTATTTTTTTTCTTATAACAGCGTTTTCCACTATGTTGCATTGGTGCACATTTGTATGTTTCAGTACTGCACTATAGTTTTCTGCATACGGTTTCGGGTATGTTTCGTCTGGTTTTGCATTGGCCTGCATCAGTAGGTACGATTACCAGTGAACTCTTCTAGTGCGGCAGGGTGTAACAGTGCAAACGACATTATCTCTTATTAGTCATCCAGAAATAATCGATTTCCTCTTATTAGCTACATAATTTCATAACATGGTCTCATCATAATTATTTGTATTGTTTGTCCTGCAGGATTTCGCATGCGGTGTGGTCATCGCATGCCCGGAGATTAATGGATACGGTCGGTAGCTGACAAGCCGCGCGGCTGGAATGCGGGACTTACGCATGGGAAGTCCCGCCGGCCCGGTACGCTATGCTTGACGTGTTCCGGGGCCTGAAGAGCCTGGCAAAAATCAGTCACGTGCACATCGACTCGCCTGTATTTCGCTTGCACTACAGTCTGACGGTGATGATGCTGACAGCGTTCAGCTTGATCGTTACCACCCGCCAGTACGTGGGCAACCCCATCGACTGCATACACACCAAGGACATACCCGAGGACGTGCTGAACACCTATTGTTGGATACACTCCACGTACACCATCAAGGGGGCTTTCAAGAAGAAGGTGGGCGTCAGCGTGCCGTACCCGGGTGTAGACAACACCAAGGGCAAACTCGAAGACCGCAAGACCTACGGCTACTACCAGTGGGTGTGCTTTTGTCTGTTTTTTCAGGTAATTGAAATTTGTTCGGCCACAGCCAAACCTGTCCCGTCGACCGTTGCATTAGCGAAGTAAAAAAAACGCTAAGTGGCACCACTGCAAATGTATGTCAAATGTCAGACAGACTTGCATTTGGACATCTTGATGTGTTCATAATAATAATATTTTGTCGAATAAGCGAATTAAACAATCGAGTAAACGATAAAATAAACTGAGTTAACGAATCGAGTAAAAATACACTGAGTTAATAATTTCGAGTAAACTAGTGAACAAATCGGGTGAATGAATAAAATAAAAGAATCGAGTTAACGAGCAAACAAATCAAGTAAATAAATTGAGTATCCAATTAAACGAATGGAGTAAGCGAGTAAATAAATCAAGTAAATGGATCGAGTATACGAGTGAACAAACCGAGTAAAAGAACCGTGTAAACAAATCGAGCAAATTAGTCGAGTAAACGAGTAAAAAAATCTAGTAAACCAGTAAATAAATCGAGTAGACGAGTAAATATATTTAGTAATCGAGTAAATGAGTAAACGCATAAACAATGGGATAGATTTTAATCTTATTGTAAAGTGTTACGTAACATTTGAACTGAACAATCCAAAAACAAACATATTCATATTAAAAACAATACAATTTCAACGTAAAATATATTGGTACATTTAATATTACCTTTTACCTACTATATTATAATATCGTATATTATAATGTTACCCTTCCCACTTACTTTGCGATAACAGCTAATGTTAATGTAAAGATGATGCCAAAACGTTATTAAGTAATTTACGATATACCTTTTGACATTTTCATGTCTTAGCTCTGGCACATAACCGAAAAAAGCGTTACCATATAAGCGTTACCATAAAAGCGTTACCAAAAGAGCGTAACGAAAAAAGCGAAAGGGTTGGGGACGGGAGATAGGGGTGGAATAGGGGGTAGGAGATAAGGGTGGGAATTAGCCGGGACATAACCGAAAAAAAGTGTTACCAAAAAAAGCGTTACGCTGTTACGCGCCCAGAGGTACCAAAGGGATCCATTTCGAATGTTAATCTGTTACGCTGTTATCTGATATGAGATAAGAGATATGCCGTACGTTCAACGTTCAAATTAGAACTAAATGATAAATTCAAAATAGTTTAATTCTCTATGTTAAGTTATTTTTGGCCAGATAATAAACACTACAATTTTAGCCAGAAACTTGATTGTACATAATTTTTTAATCTCCTTGGCCTAATGTATTCGGTACTTCAACGAGACATGAAAATGCTCTTTCGTGGTTGCAGACTCGGCTGAAAAACTGTTTTGGATTTTCTTAATATTTTGGAGCGGTCGAAAAACTTAACGCGCGTTTGATCGATAGCACCTTTGACGTTTGAAGTTTGTAATTATTTATTTTCACGACGGACGATTCGTACGTTTCTGTTTACATTTGCAGACAACCAATCTAATTGATTATTGAGACCGCATAAGTATATTTTGCCGTTCTCTCGATTCACCGGACTTACTAAAATATCATATTCTACGTTTGTACGTCGAGGACTTAGCACAAGCGAGTTGTGACGGAGCTATTCCGGTGCTATTGTGGCTAAGGCCGGTACACGGTTTGGCGAACCGTTTAAATATAGAGTGCACTTTGTAAACGGTGTCGGCGGTGGTCAATAAAAAACTAAAAAAACAATAACAGTAATAATAACAAAAAATAAACGTCTCGAATGTGTGTGTAACAGCTATTGTATTATATTAAGATTAGGACCGCACACATATTAAGTAAACTCGTAAAACGTCCACTAGCATGCAAACTGAGAGTAAATCGTTCTCAAAACGGTCGTAAATCGTGTGCACGTTCCAAACACAATAATAACAATAATGATAGTAATGATAATGATAATAATAATATCATCGTCAAAGTGTCTGTGTGTGTGTGTGTGTTTGTGTAGATTGTTTTGTGTTATCGTGGGAATTGCACGCGGTCTGTTTTTTTTAGACAAAAAGCCAGACAAAAATTCGACTACTTAAGATGATCCGATTTCAATTCTGTAAAGATATACCAGTTCTTTGGCAACTTTACTAGGTTTCGTAGTGAGCAAATGTTTGATTATTGGTTTTGTTTGTGTAAAAAAATCGGGTTTTAATGTTGAAAAAATTGCAAATTTAATTTATTTAATTACAAGAAACTGACATTTTTTAATGGTAATCGGCTTCCTCCTACATGACATAGTGAGGTAGCCAAAGAACTCGAATGTCTTTACAAAATTGAAATTGCACCATGCTATGTATTCGAAATTTCGTCTGGCTTTTTTGGTCTAAAATAAACCAAAGTGGCAAAGTTACTCATAGAAAAAATTATTTAAATTAAAAATAATACCTCGAAGCTTGTAAAAATTAACCGGTAAATTGATTGTCATGGTAGAAATGTATTAAAACCTCATGTTTCTTAAATATTGCCTATACAAAACTCCTTAGTAACAGATCGCATGCAATCCCCTTAAGAAGTTTGCCGTCGGGTGACCGCCAAAGACACCAATAACGCCAATGTGTGGCCTACGGTCGGCGCTGAAAGGCGCAACTCTTCAAGACGTCTTATTTATACAATATTACTGTTATCTCAAACGACCGAATAGCTAATAATATTATGTTTTATACGGATGTGATTTTTGGGGACATGGTTTTTTTGGGCTTAAAAAAAAAGGCGTCATTTGAACATTGAGTAAAAATTTGCGACAGTTTGACCACTTTAATAAAAATAAAAATAATAAAAACTTTAACTTTAATAGAAATAAATAATTTTTCTTTTACAAGTCTATAAACACTTTACAGTATCATCCTTATCGACTGTACGTCAGATCAATAGATAAATTTTAAATTTCCAATGGTTGTGTGATGATATATTTTTTTTGTTACGGCCCCTTAGACAAATATAACTGTCCACGTTCCTCAGTCTTCCTTACTACCATACAGTACTATCGATCTTATCAGCGTTGAACTTATATATATTTTGTTGAGAGTAGCTTCGAGTCAAACAGATTGTCCAGGGCATTAGAGCACTTATTGCCCATTTCCATATTATTCGATTGGGTAATCGGTGTGGCCAGATATTTGAATTGTGTCACATTCTTGATAATATTGCAACTGATAAGTCATATGTTTTGTATTACACGGCTGCAGTAGTGAGACAAATTAAAAATATGTACCAGAGAAATGTAATTTTATCATTGTGGTTACACTGCAGCTAGACTTTTCGCTTACTTAATAATGTTTTAATTATTGCTGCGTTATCGTCAGTAATTGACATGTTTTTAGATTTTTTTTCTATTAACAAATATTTTCACACATTTTACAATGTCATAAAATAAAAATAAAAAAACTCTTACAAGGGTAGGCGACAGTTAGTGGATTGGTAATTGAAATGTAACTGTTGTAATGGAATAGAATTTTAGACGAATTTTTAAATTTAACCAGGTGAATTGATCTTTTTTTTTTACATCAAGAAATTGAACCAATCGCGTTACTTAACACCTAAACAAACATCAATTCTTCCGACAAATGCTTTGAGTAGGTCTTGAGTTGCAAGATCGACACGTTTACATTATACTCTCTGATAAAAGTCATTAGAGTCGATTAGTAAGTATAAAATATTAATAAAACCTATTTGTTCTATTGTACGATAATTTGGCACTAGAAGAATTACTTTTTAGACGTTTAACCGTCGATAAATATAAACAAATTCGATTTTTTATTTGTAGATTAAATATAGACTCGCGGAGAGTGCTCGTTGTATTATTTAAATATTTAAACCCTTTGAATTACTTTTTAAGTCGAACGATCCGTTAAAAACTCGGATTATTTATTTGTTTATGCGGAGTTTGAATTGAAAACAAATAGCTCCACCGAACACATTAGACAAACTATTATATTTTGGTTAAGTGAATTAAATATATATATATATATATATATAGTGCTTTTACAGTAACAAGCCGAGCCAAAATGTATAATTCTATTAAATCAACGAATCACGCTTTAGAACTACAATCAGACTTGGATAACTTTTGCAATTGTTGTGTAGATGTAATGACATGAAGTCAACTTAAATAAATGTTCTAAAATTATTTTTTCGTATATAAAAATAAATTTGATTTAGCTTTTAACTGGGACTTAGTTAATTATTCGATAAAACGCGTATCATTAGTTAATGATTTAGGCATTTTTTTGATACTAAACTAAAATTAAGACAATTTCAATAGTAGGTTTTCTTAAAAGCCGAATTTTATCACCAACTTACATTAAGAAATGTATATTTTTCTTTGGTTCGGTCTCGGTTGCAATATGCCGTTCTCATTTGGTCTCCCAATTCCATAATATCCATTCAAAGTCTAGAACCTATCGAAAATGAGTTCTTGCGATTCCTATAAAGTATAATTAAAGTTTAGAGTGAAAAGGCAGCCTAATGTGACTTTCCTGAAAAATTGTAGAAATTATCTTAATCAAATATTTATTAGAGAAACTTAATTTTCAAATAAATATTAGTAACAAAGAGATAACAGTTTTTTGTCTCACAAAACATTCGCTCTAATTACTCAATTAATTCACCGGCCAACAAGTTAATGTCAATTGACAAATTTGCTCATTTAGATATTTTTTCTTGTAATCATAATGACATTTAATGCGTGTATAGCTTAACTTAACTTTAAAATATTATCGCCAATTTTTGTCTTAATATTTCTTTCTGTTCTTTCTGTACACACAATTATTTATACTTGTACATCTACATAAACCTTGGTAAATTTATACTTATACATACCTTTGTACATATTAATATTGTACCTACTTACGGCCGTCATATTGGTACGGCTAATTTGTTTTGCCTTTTAAATATTTTATCCGCCGTTCAACGGTAGGCACAGTAGGTATTATTTTTGTGGCGTGTACCGTAATCGGCGGTCGCTGGTCTGGCGACGATTTCCTCCTTCTTCGTGTGGATTTCAACGTTTTGCATTGTTTATACATGTTTA